AGCTACTGAAGAGCTTAGAGTATCTTAAGGTGGAGCAGATAGATACGAGAAAAGAGCAAAAAGGAAGTAAGGATGTGACTTTGATGGCATCTAGGTAAGAGCAAGGCCTAACCTTTTTTGTTTTCCGTAATGTGTCTTTTTATTTGCTTGGGTCCGAAAAAGGCCATAATGAACCTTTTATTAAGTACAAAATTTATAGGTTGGACTCTGACAAACCTGGTGTCACTAGCCCTGAGGACAGGAAAAAGACAGGACTAATTCACCCCAATTGTAAACAACAGGAACAGGGCTGATTTGCTTGGAGGTGCAGAGGAAAACAGCATGTGAGTCTGCCCCTTGGCGAATGAAGTAGGTGACCAGCCCTCCCTGTTTGCCTGGGACTGAGGGGAGTTCTCAGGAGGCGAGAGCTTCACTGTTAAAACCCGCAAAGTCCCAGGCAAACCCAGGCCAATTAATGACCCGAGAATGAAGCCTCAGCTGAGTGCTCTCCCTCTATACCCTGGCCCCTCTACAAGTAGGTTGGCATCCAGCTGCTTCCTGTGGAGTGATGCAGCCTCTGCCACATACTAGGTTTGAGTAGTTATATCACCTCTCCAGGTCTTAGTTTGCTTATGTGTAAAATGGAGTTAATAGTAACTACTTCATAGGGTTTACAATGTTTGAATGTGAGAAGACACAAATGCGCCTGGTGAAGCATCTGGCACAGAGTGATCATTGTTAGCAAACTTATTTATTACTCATTCATTCAGTTCATTCAAGAAATCTGTATGCATACCATGTGCCAGGCCCTGCTGTGGACCTACAGAACAAAGACAAAATTCCTGCCCTCATGGAGGGGGATAGACAAACAGAATAAATGAATCCATCATATCATAGATTAGGGGAGAAGACCCGTAGAGGGAACATCTGAGCAGGATAAGGGGGATGGAAAGTGCTAGGGCAGAGATGTCATGGTGTTAAATACTAAGGTGACATTTGTACAAAGACCTGAAGGAGGTGAGAGAATGAGCCCTACCTAGTGAAACAATTCTGAGCAAAGAAAACAGGGGTCCGGAAATAGAAACATGTCTGGTGCGTTCACAGACTGGTGGGAAAGCTAGCTTGGCTGCATCTCAGTGACCAAGGGAAAATTGTAGGAGTTAAGGGGTGGGGGACTGGGGGCTCCCAGAGGGGTTGTTGGTGCCCAGTTTCACTCCAAGTAAAAGCCACCAGAAGATTCTGAGTAGATGGGTGTCATGGATTGGGTTTGAAAATATTCTGGCTACTCTGTTGAGAAGAGAATGAGAACAGGAAAGCAAGGGTGGAAGCAGGGAGACTAGTTAGAAGACAGTTGTAATCCAGGCAAGAGTGATGCCTTAGACCAGGATGGTAGCAGTGGGAAAGAAGGAATGAGTGGACCTGAGATATACTGGGGGTGCCAAAAAAAATGTATACACTGACTTGTATTCATCTTTTGTTATCAGTGTATATCGAGTATTACAATTTTAATACAGTTTTTTCCTTTTTTAAAATGTGTATGCTTTTTTTTTTTTTTTTGGCACCTTCTGTATTTTGAAGGTAAAGCTGACAGGATTTCCTGACTAAATGGATTAGTGTATGAGAGGGAGAAAGGAGTCAAAGATGACTATAAGATTTTGGGTTGTCGGAAAAGTCATGACGTATTTTTTCTATGTTTTTCGTTGTAAAAATACATCATGACTTTTCCAACAACCCAATATTAATATGAGAACAGAGGGGCATGGCTACCTCAGAAGGGGTGCTTTTGGCTCGACTTCTGTTGTTATTGGGCCGTCATTAAGCTATTGGGATGTTCTTTATGATGAGCTCTTATATCAGATGTCTTGGTTTGCCTTCATAGTCATTGTCCCCACCCTTATAAAGAAGGGAACAAAGGCCGCTTCTCTCTTTACATTGTGAATCCTGCTTTCTTGAGAAACATCCCAGGTAGATTAACAAATTATCAAAACTCCTATTTCCCTCAAGCAAACCTGGCTCTCCAGCACAGCAGTCCCCAGTTGGCACAGACTTGCCATCTAAGGTCCCTGGGGAGAAAGGACCAGCAAGGCCCTGCCCTCTGGCAACTCTACCTCTGCCAGCCAGGAACACTCCTTTCCCAGGCCCTTGCTTTTTTTTCCCTGCTGGGAACCTGCTTCTCAGAGTGGTGGAGGCGGGAGACTCTGGGAGGCAGCCCAGCTTGCTTTGCGTGCTTTGGCCAAACCCTGCTCCCTGCAGAGCTCAGCTCTAGTCCAGGGTGGTGCAGTTGGGAACTAGGAGGCAGGAGGCCGGGGGTAAGAACATCGGGCACCGCCTCCCCATCAAGCTTCCTATTTTCCTCTCTTAAGCGCTAGCAGGTAGAGTGGTCTCCAACCCTCGACTCCACAAGTGTGGGTGCCAGCTCACCCCATTTTACCTCCAGGCAGGGTCCCGCATCTGCCTTCCCAGACAGATGAGTATCTCGAGGATCTCTCCTGATGGTTCTGTTTTCAGGGTGGAGAAGTGGAAGCCGTCTCAGACCCTGCAAACAACACTCTCTTGGGTACCTATTTTCCCATTTTCAAAATCTTTTTCTGTATAAATGTCTTCCTTAGATCTAACCCAAATCTCTCCTTTTGCCATTTAAGAACACTCTTGGGTCTTACTCAATGGAGATGGAGAGTAGATGTTTGCCCTCATGCTACGCCCCCATCTCCCCACCAGTGGAATACCCTGCATGGTCACTGAAGTCGGAAGAAGCGCTCTGGCGTCAGTGTCTTCATTTTCTTCTTGTAGCATCCTGTCATCTGCTTTTCCCTGGGCTCTGTGTGAACCTTCATCCTCTGATTCTGTGAGTGGCCTGGTCCTCTGATTCTAACCCTCCTCAGCTGCTGACCTTTTCACAACAAAGGTTGCCACACCCTGCCTGTGGGGAGCCCATCAAACAGTGCAGCCAACAACTTCAAGTGCCAAGACCTGGGCTAATTTGCTGCTGTGTGTAAACAACTTGATGAATGCCAACTGGCAGTAATTGAAATTTTAGGATTTCCTCCCTTCCCTTAAAGTGTAAATCCTTGGGGCCCAGCAGAGAGGCCTAATGATAAGGAAGGCACTAGGAATAATTCTTTTTCTCTCCGGGAACATGCCTAGAAAATGTGTGCACATTCACGCAGGTATCTAAGCATATATGTGTGTTAGTGGGAGCATGCTGGCAATCAAGGACGGTGTACTATCTGACTTTGTAGCTCCACCTTTTTTGTTCTCTTTTTATTCACTCTGAATAGTAGTACTTGTCTTAGTACCTGGTACTTCTCTAGGTACACAGTACTTAGTAGAAAACTAATACCTCTTAATGGTGTGTGTTTATGTCTATATGTGTGTGACAGAAAATGAAAGGTATGTGTGCTCAAAGGGGATGCCCAGAGTTGGAGCCTCAGAGCCTCTGTTCTGTTGATCTCCTAAAGCCACTGGAACTTGAAATCAGGACTAGTGGGGCTATGTCCCCTAGCCTCCTAGCATGACCTTGAGCAGATAGCTTATTCTTTCTGGTTTTTGTGTGTGAGCCAATGGATGGAAACTAACTCTGTTTTTATTTATTTTTATTTTACTTTTTTTTTTTAACCTTTTAGAAACTCTTTATTTTCCAAAAACCTTACTTTCATTTTGCTTAAGAGTTTGTGGACGAATAGCGTAGGACCACTCAATTGTTGTTCCTACCCATTCAGTGTCCTGAGCAGTGAGGGCTGCAGACCAGTCCTCAGGGGTGGACTGAGCTCTCCAGTCTTTAGTAGGAAACGGCTGAATGGGCACCGAGGGCCCCTGCACGCCTTCAGACCAGTCTACGACCTCAGGCTGAGCAGCAGTGAACTCGGGAGCTGGAGCCATCCATTCGCCCTGAAATTCCTCCTTGGTCATAGCCTCTTCACCAGCGGCCTGCTCTTCCTTTTCAATATCTTCAGAGTCTCTGTAGAAGTAGAGGTCAGGCATGACCTCCCACAGGTACTCGCGGGAGATGGTGCCACGCATGCGCAGAACTTCCTGGGCCAGCACCCCCACACCAGACCCACGGAGTGAGCTCCCTTGTTGTTGCGAGGGATGGCAATGTCCACATAGCGCAGAGGAAAGTCTGCAGTGGTCAGCAGGTTAACATGAGACGCTTCTGTGAGAGGCTCGTGGTCAGCCCCAGCATCGGTAGCCACTAAACAGAAGTCTCTGCTCCCGGAAGGCTGCCTGGATCTGGTTAGTGAAGTGGCCAGCAATAGGAGTGGCTCCAGTGGCAGCAGCAAACTTCAGCACAGCTCACTGGCCGGTATTCCTGGACCATATGACAATGACATCAGCCAGGTTTTCAATGGCAGCAATGGCACAAGCTGCCAGTAGAAGCTTCTCCCAGGTTCTCTTCAGATTTATGATGTAGAGGCCATCACTTTTCCGTTTGTAGATGGGCTGTTCTACTTGGAAGTCGAGGTTGGTGCCACCTAAGTGGGTTCCTGTTGCAAGGAATTTGAGAACATCCCCCTCCCTCACTTGTAGGCAATCAAGGGCTCTGGACATTGTAAAAGATTCCCTTTAAGTTGTGTGTGGGAACAGAGAACAATGCCATATGGGTCTCTCTCTGGGTAGCATGGAAAGCAAGCTAACTGTTTTTAAATCATCACCAGCATTTACGTGTTAACGTGAGACAGAAGTTCTGTGTGAGTCCCAGGAAACATTTTAATGTTTGTGTTCTTAGAACTGGAGCCTGGAGCATACTCAGTAAGGAAGAGATGAAGTTTTAGGTCTAGGTTAGCTTACCCCAGAGACTAAGAGGAGTGAGTGAGTGGACCCTGTGACCAACTTGTCTCAGTTTGCCCATTTTTAGACTGAAAGTTTCACACCCCATGAGTCCTGGGCAAATTGGTGTGGTTAGTCACACTAGTCATGGTTGGGCAGATCAGGAAGCAAGGGGTCTTTTCACTGCCTTCTTCTATCATTCATCTCTTTCCCTTTTTTCTCACCGATTCATCTCACTCCTATGTCCTTTTTAGGTTTATCTGGGAACCCGGCAGATCTGGAGAAACGTAAGCAAGTATTTGGACAGAACTTAATCCCACCCAAAAAGGCCAAGACCTTTTTAGAATTAGTGTGGGAAGCCCTTCAAGATGTTACCCTCATCATCCTGGAGATCGCAGCCATCATCTCCTTGGTCCTGTCCTTCTATCGCCCCCCTGGTGAAGAAAATGAACGTGAGTATCTTAAACAGCCCAGCATGACTCTGATCTGGTTCTTTCCATAACCACCAAAAAGCACTTAGTGTTTGTGGCTGACAGATTATAGCTTAAAAGTTTTCCATTATCCGATGTGAGTTCTCCAAAGAAAACCAACAAATAGCTAATAAGCTACTCTTCCAACCCATTTTGATTCAGGATATTTTCCCCCTTCTTCCATCAAATTCTTATTTTGAATGTAACAAATCCTCTACTGCTACCCAACCAACAAAGCCCTGCTTCTCGAAGTGCACCCCACCAATATTATTGGCATTTTGTGACATAGCAGTGGGAGCCTGACCATGTTGGGAATAAGTTCTATACATGTGACTTGCCTATAATTTGCATTGATGTGTTTTGTGCTATTTAGTCATTTGCTTCTTTTGGGTTACCATAAATAGTTTTATGGTGATGAAATGATGCCCAATCCTGCTGTCCTCCATTGTCCTCAGAGCATAGCTCTACCACCCAAGAGTTTTATTTTTTATTATTCTCTATCCCTGACTTGCCATTCTGGGGGATTTCAGAAGCACTACCCCTATTTTATTGTCAACAAAAGCCCCTAGGTGATCCTTTCTTTCTCTCTTTTCCCTGGGTTAGAGTGTGGTCTACCTGTAAGTAGCCCAGAAGATGAAGGGGAGTCAGAAGCCGGATGGATTGAGGGGGCAGCCATTCTATTCTCGGTGATCATCGTGGTGCTAGTGACGGCCTTCAATGATTGGAGCAAAGAGAAGCAGTTCCGGGGGCTGCAGAACCGCATTGAAAAGGAACAGAAATTCTCCGTCATCCGAAATGGTCACATCATCCAGCTCCCTGTGGCTGAGATCGTGGTGGGTGATATCGCCCAAATCAAATATGGTGAGAGCCCCGTGTTTCTCGCACCCATGCCACCTTCCCTATTTGAGGGCCAGGTCCTTTGGCATAAGGGGGCTAGGAATTGCTGAGGACCCAAAGAGATAGGCCCCCAAATCGTGTTAGCTTCCAGGTTAGTGTTTAAGGAGGTCGTAGGAAGAAAATTCAAAGAAAGAAGTCACGGAAGCTCTCCTAAAAGATTATCAGCCTGTACCCTGTGTGTCTTTAGGTTAAAAGTATATAATAGTCAGGCCGTGGGAAGGTGTTTGGGGATCAGTAATTGTTTGAATTTATCGTACCTGGAAAGGAGTCTTGTCCCAGGTTGTGGGAGCTGAAGCTGTCTTTCAAAGGCTCTCCAGCTACACCCTGGGCCGTTGTCTCTGTGCAGAACCCATGGGGGCAGCGCTGAGATGGGGCTGGGTGGTCCCCACCCTCTGCCAGGCTCTCACCTCCCCTCTTTCCCTGTTGCCGTCTCCCCTCTGTGCACTAGGTGACCTGCTGCCCGCAGATGGGGTCCTGATCCAGGGAAATGATCTCAAGATTGACGAGAGCTCTTTGACTGGGGAATCGGATCACGTCAAGAAGTCTGTGGAAAGAGACCCCATGTTGCTTTCAGGTATTGCCTGTGGTCACCCCAGTTCCCATTCTGCCTCCAAGACAGCCAGGCCGCAGAGACCTAATCCAGATCCTGCTGTCTCTTCTGGCCTTGCCCCATCTCCTGCCCCTGTGCTCATATCGGGCAGTGGCACATTAGTGGGTTGAATAGACGTATATCCGGTAACCTAAAAGAAGTTCTCTATAAAGCAAGTGCTGTACGGGCCTTGGGAGGGCTCTGCCGGTTGGGGGTGGATGGTGGTGGAAGGAGCCTTACCCTAAAGCAGACACACTTACCTCCTTATCCCCCAATTTGCTTGGTCTATTTTATTTATTTATTTATTTATTTTTTTAATTTTAATTTTTTTTTATAAAGATTTTTTTTTTAAATTTTATTGGGGAACAGTGTGTTTTTACAGGACCCACTAGGTCCAAGTCAAGTAGTTGTTTCAATCCAGGTGTGGAGGGCACAACTCAATGGCCCATGTGGGGGTAGAACCGGCAACCTTGGTGTTATCAGCACTGAGCTCTAACCAGCTGAGCTAACTGGTCTCCCCTGCTTGGTCTATTTTAAATGGTCCCGGCTCTCGACCTTTTTCTACTCTCTGCTGAGTATATCATTATCTGTGGAGGAGGAAGAGGGGCTGGTTTTTTCCAAGTCTGTGATTCAGATGGCTAGGTGTAAAAAAACAACACTCCTCCCATCTTCTCCTTTCTCATACAGGGACCCATGTCATGGAAGGTTCTGGCCGGATGGTAGTGACCGCTGTGGGTGTCAACTCCCAGACTGGAATCATCTTTACCCTCTTGGGGGCCAGTGAAGGAGAAGAGGAGGGGAAGAAGAAGAAAGGTAAAGGGCATTCAGAATGAGATTCTCTTCCCTTCCATCCCCATGGGTAAACTAGGAAGCAAGGGAGCAGATCTGGATGCAAGAATCTGCTGGATGAAGAGTGCAGGCATCCAAACCCCTTGCCGAGAGAAAGATGTCAACCCTGCCTCTCCAGGGTGCTCTGAGGAAAATATGATCCTGGCTCTAGGCTCCCAAATCAGGTTGCATTTGAGCCTCGATTCCTGGTTGTAAAGAGGTGAGTTATAAAGCCCGCCTCCAATGAGGTGGCTAGGCGCTCTGGACCCAATTGCCCTCTGTAGTCCTCCAACCCCTGTCCCTTTCTTCCTCAAACATGAGGGATTAAACGAACCATGAGGGCTAAGAAAATGGCCAGGAAATGAAACTGGATTTCTGCTGAAACCATGGGCTGTCAGTGGAAGAGAGACAGAGCTAGGAGAGTGAGCAAACAGAGGTAATGTCCACCCAGAAGTTAGTCCTTTCTTTGCCATTTACTTGTTTCCGAGGGAAGGAGAAACAGAAGGTGAATGAGAGAAAGATAGTAAAACCAAGTGTACACCTTTTCATAAGCACTCCTCCTTTCCTTGAAGGACAGAAGGACTCGACCGCTTAGATTGAGGACCATCTTGGGCTGTTTAGTGGAGGGTAGTTTATGAAAAGGAAGTAAAACACAACTCCCTCCGGTACTACGCTGTTCGTTTTTGCAGCTACCTGCAGATGAATAAGGAGGGAGCTTGCCTGGTGCTGGTGAACTGACGTGGAGACGCCGTGCAGGACCTTTGCCATCAGGCAGAAACAGTTCAAACCTCTCACTTCCTAACCCCTCACCCCGTTTCTCCAAGTGCTGTGACTTAGGCCAGGAGCACCCTCCCAGTAGCAGCCATGCTCTTAGGAGGAAGCAGCTTGGTGTAGGTGTGTGCACTCACCTGCGTGAGTGGTGTGGTCCATATCCCACGGTTTCATGAGAGCCCCTCCACTGAGAAGGGATGTAAGCGGAGATTTGAGCTTCCTTCACATTCCCTTCCCTGCAACTCAACCCTTTTGCTGTCGCCCTTTTGGGCTCTGAGCAGGACCAACACATTGGATATCTGATCTCTTAATAGTCACTTTGGGTCTCCACCCCACTTTTTTCTTTCTTGTTCAAACAGGTAAAAAACAAGGAGTCCCTGAAAATCGCAACAAAGGTAACCTGTCCACCCACTCATTTACCATCTCTACCTGACTGCACTCAAACCAGACCTTTCCAGGCCATCTGCCTTCTCCCTTTTCCTTGCCATAAATCTGTTATCTGCTACTGTGGCCCAGATACCTCATCCTGAGGAAGGTGCAGAGATTTGGGGGTGGTCCCAAGGTCCCAGTCCCAATCTAATATGGGACAACAGCATCCTCTGCTGTTGGCTCAGGGAATCTCATGTCAAGGTTTCTCTTGGGGAGTGTGTAGGATTGATCTGCTCTTCCCAGGGTACTGAACTCTTTGCCTCATTGCCCTCAGCCTGATTTAAACACCAATGGTCATCAGTTTCTGGGTTGGAAGACTTCAGGGTCCTTATGGTAGAGGGCGTTGGGTGGGCAGTCCCTGCACCCTCCTCTTGCTAGCTTCCTCATCGGTGTCCTCTTCTGGTCTGGAATCCTTCTCTGCTAGTCTCGGGGTGCTTAGAGAGAGCCTTTTCTCCATGCCTCTCTCTTCACCTCTTTCTTTGTTCTCTCCACAGTCTGTTTTCTTCCTCCTGATCTGATGTGTGTTTCTTTTTTGGTGACTGTGCTGACATCCGTCTCTGTCTTGTTTGTGAGTCTGACAGCAGAGACAGTATCTCAGGAAGGACATCCTAAGCTAAAGGGCCAAGCGCTGCAGGAGTGACGTTAGAAGGTGGTGGGAGCCAGCGAGAATTGTTCTCTTGAGACAGCTTCCAGAGATTGGTTTCCTCTGTCACCCACATCATAGTAGTCTTTAAAAATAAAGTCCTCATGTCGGAGAACCAGGGATCCACAGAACTAATTCTTTAATTTCAGGTCTCTTTAACTCTTCTTTTTAATGCAAAGTGGATTTATATGTCTGTCTTTATCCCTGCTTTCTCTTGTTACAGGGGGGCCCCCACACCAGCTTCTTCCCTCTCCCCCAGAAGACTAATCCCAGGTCCCACTCTGGCCCTCCATACCTTTGTCAGGCAAGGGAGCAAGGGGTTTCCTTCCCCTGTTCAACTGATATAAGAAGGAACTGGAGAGCACCCTTTGTTTGGGGTCTGTGTTTCTTTCCCGGCAGCCTATACATAGAGAGAGGAACCTTTGAACAGAGCAAACTAGGACCCTTATGCTCTGGAAACATCTGTCAGCCTTCCCTTTCTATCCCTTTCTGCAATAAAGATTGACTGTTGTAAGCACTGAGTTACAGAAAGGATGTTTGTTGGTAATAGCTCTTGGCATGACTAATCCTCTTGCTGGAATAAACCTGGCTTGGGCTTTCAGCGGGGGGCCTGGAAGTTGCCACTGCCGAGGAAATTCATAACCTAAAAGCACCCCTGTGTCATCTGCAGTTGTTAGAATATCATTCCACAGGCCCTAATAGAGGGTCAAAGGCAAGTACCCTGTCTGGCATGGGGTGAGGGCGGTTAGGACTCATGTCAGGGGTCCAAGGTGTATACAGGAAGAAGACAGGTTTTCTGATTGCCACCTGCCTGTTGCTCAGTGCTACTACCTGTCCTGTTCACCTGTCCCATTTGTGTGTACACCCTAGCAAAGACTCAGGATGGAGTGGCCCTGGAAATCCAGCCACTCAACAGCCAGGAGGGGATCGATAATGAGGAAAAGGAGAAAAAGGTGTCCAGGCTGCCTAAGAAGGAGAAGTCAGTGCTGCAGGGCAAGCTGACACGCTTGGCTGTTCAGATCGGGAAAGCTGGTGAGTAGGGCAGAGCCTTCTGGCCATTGTGGTTTATCAAGACTGTTCCGGATCCTCGCTGCTTTACTTCCTTTCTCTCCACTCCACCCGCGTCTAGCAGAAGCTAAAACTTGCGAGTGGCTAGTGTAGTCTAGGTAGCCATGTCCCCTCCCTCTGCCACCCATTGGCCACTCCCTAGGTTTCCAGAGACAAATGTTTCCCTCTATGTAAGGGCTAAAGGCCCTTGGGTCTCTTTCATCCAAACAAACGGGAAGTAAAGAACTTATATCATAACATGGGAGATTTACGTTAGCAAGAAGGGAGACTTTAATAACTGCTTACCTGTCACATGTGTGAGCTTGTAAATTCCTTAAGGGCAGAGAAGGCTGGCAGTTTGTTAGAGGTAGTTCCCTAGCAGAGCAGTAGCATCAGGCTAGGCACAGAGCCATAAATTCAAAATAAGGACGGAGGGAAAAGGAAGAGAGTGACCTCAGAGGCTCTTTCCAGAGGAAAAGTCACTAAAGACACTCTTGCTTGTGTACTGCGAGAGCAGGTGGCTTCTCCATCACTTGCTGGTGCATTCTCTCTCCTCTACCTTCTTTTTGTGGTGAGGTGGGGCGAGGGCGTTGGAGAAGGGAACAAAAGGAAGATTGCTCTTTCATTGGACATACCCCGCCCCCCGCCAGGTACTCCCTTATATCCCTGTCTAATTACTTCTTGACCCCCACACCCTACCCCTCTGTTTACCATAATCGTAGTCTAGCCTAGTACATCAATGTGTGTACAGTTCACCTGAGGCCTTCTTAAAGCGCAGTACCTGATTCAGGAGGTCTAGGGCCGAGCCCGAAAGTCTGCATTTCTAACAAGCCCCAGGTGAGGCCAATGCCACTGACCCACTAAGCACACACTCTGAGTAGCTAGGATCTGTGTTGTCCACGACCGTAGCCACTAACCATATATGGCTATTTCATTTTAAATTAATTAAAATTAAACACAATTAAACATTCAGTTCCTCAGTTCACGTTAGCCTGATTTCGATGGGTCAATAACGACATGTGGCTAGTGGCTACCTTATCGGACAGTGTTAGTCTAGCCTATGCATTTGGCTCTATTACCCAGCTAGCTCATCTTGATGACTGTGAAATCTCTAGAATATAAACTAGATATGGATGAGAGGAATTGCAGGTGTGGAATCAAGCCATGGAGCCTGGCACACACTCAAGGTTTGAAACATTAAACAGATTCCACCCAACCCCTCCTGTTATCCTCTTAATCCCCGCTTTGCTCTGTAGGACGGATAAGCTTCCGGATGGCTGGCCACTCATCTCCTTTGTTGTATTACTTTACACATCAAGCCAGGCCAGGACTCGGGTGAGGCAAATGGGGTGCCTTGTGCCACCCTGAGAGTGAGGGCCCCTTCAGTTTTATACCACAGGCACCTTGCTTGCCTCACCTCAGCCCTGAACCTGATGAAGAAGCCAAGTGCAAAAGAAATGCTTTCATTGATAGTCATTGATCGCCTCTCGCCTTTCTTGGATCCCGCTGAGTCATCGGGCCCTCAGGAAAAGTGAAGACCCAAACCAGACTATGGCTTTTAAGGCAGAGCTTTCCCCGGGTATTGTGCTACAGATGTAGGTACTGCTGGGCCCAGATACTGATCTCAGGGCAGTTGGAGCCCCTAGGCCAATTGTTTTCAGACCTTGAGCAGATTCTCCCATTTACCTCAGTGTGTAGGATGACCAACTGTCACAGTTTGCTCGGGACTGTCTCAGTTTTGGCACTGAAGGTCCTGTGTCCCAGGAAACTGCTCAGTCTCAGGGCAATCCAGGATGGTTGGTCCCCTACCAGTGTGTCATACCAAAAACCTCTCTGTGCCTTAGTTTCTTCAGAAATAGGGATTATAATCGTAACTTACCTCTCAGGGTTGTTATGAGGATTAAATGAGTCAATGTGAAGTGCTTGTCTGGCCCATAGTGTGTAAGCACTATATAAATATGTGCTATTATTTGTCTCTTTCATCTATGCCACTCAGAACAAAGGTTGGGAGGCACCCTTCTAAGGGTTGGTCTTGTAGGTGATGTGCTGACACCACAGGGATATTGCTGTATACAGGTTGTGAATTGCCCAGCATTCGCAGGTTATTGCAGGAGAAGTCCACATTGATAAACGACTAGGAAACAGTCAAATATGGTCACTACATTGTGAATCATAGGAAGAGGGTAGGTCTAAAATAGAATCATAGAATACTATTTTGGAAAACTAGACCAGCTGCCTTATTTATGAATAAGAAAACAGACCCAGAGAGAGTCAACGACGAGTCTAAAGCCATGAGTCAAGTTAGTGCAATGTCTCTGGAAAGTGAGACCTGTGTCTTTTTCCCTACACTATCATGTACAAGCAGCAGAGAATGGGTAGGAGATTGTAGTATGACTTCCTAGATGTAGCGGTTATAAAAATTGGTAGCAAAGATTGCAGCTTCTGCTGATATGTCTCTGGCTGGGGCCTTAGGAATGCCCTCAAGCCGGAGTTCATGTGACTTGTTTCTTGTCAGGTCTGATCATGTCTGCTATCACCGTTCTCATCCTGATTCTGTACTTCGTGATTGACAACTTCGTGATACAGCGCAAACCGTGGCTAGCCGAGTGCACCCCCATCTATATCCAGTACTTTGTCAAGTTCTTCATCATCGGCATCACTGTACTGGTGGTAGCTGTGCCCGAAGGGCTGCCACTGGCTGTCACCATTTCACTGGCCTACTCTGTGAAGGTGAGTCTGGAATGATACTTCCTTTAGGACAGAGATGGGGGGACAGTACCACGTAGCCTTAAATAAAAGGAGAGGTCATTTGTGCCCTGTAAACTCTGGGTGGCATCTCATAAGAGCACAAGTCCCTGGCACTGTGGAGGGACCATCATGATCAGGTGCATTAGTGTGTAAGTGACCCAGTAGAATCTAAAGAGGATTCACAAGAATAGTATCCTGCATCTTTGTGTGGGACAAGAGAATGAAATGTGGAGAGATGTTGGCTAGGAAATGGCCTTTGACCTGTATTGGGGGGAGCTCAGCTGGTCTCCTCTCAAGTCTTTTCTCTTGTCCTCTGTAGAAAATGATGAAAGACAATAACCTAGTACGGCACCTAGATGCTTGTGAGACAATGGGCAATGCCACAGCCATTTGCTCTGACAAGACAGGCACGTTGACCATGAATCGCATGACTGTGGTACAGGCTTATATCGGAGACACCCGTTACCATCAGCTCCCAAGCCCTGATGCCCTTGTGCCCAAGCTCCTGGACCTTATTGTCAACGGCATTTCTATCAACAGTGCCTATACCTCCAAGATCCTGGTAAGCTCTTCCTTTGTCTGGACACTCAGAATGGGCGGTGGGAGAGAACATTCATTTTCCCCGAGACAATTCATTTTCTCTTGTTCATTCTGCCTGTGTTACCATCCCACATCACATTTTCCACTCTTCAGTGAACGTGTTTAGGGTAAGACTAGGTTAGGGAGTAGATGGGGGAGTGGCAGGTAGGAATCTATGGCTGTGAAATGCCCTTCAATTGCCATGTAAAGGTAAAATCTCCAGGGAGAGAGACCTCATGCTGATAGCAAAATTGGGCTCATCAGGAGTCAAGTACTACTCACTTTCCAGAAACTCAGGGAGGACAGTGTTAGAATAAGACCCACACCCCCGGGGTGAGCCACCAGCACCAACCCCAGGGCAAACTATAATAAAAAAAAACCCTTAAGCCCTGGATGTCTCAGGGACCAGTCACCACTGACCACTGTCTACCTTGAAAGAAAACATATGCTGCCCACCTCCCACCTCGGGCTCTGCGTGTGTGAAAGTTTTGAGGGGAGCGCTTTCCTTCCTGAGTTCTCCCCTTGGTCGAGGCATCTTATTCAAAAGTCCCTTTTATGTTTTTCTCTCAGCCTCCGGAAAAGGAGGGAGGCCTGCCGCGGCAGGTGGGCAACAAGACGGAGTGTGCACTGCTGGGCTTCGTCACGGACCTGAAGCAGGACTACCACGCGGTGCGCAGTGAGGTGCCCGAGGAGAAGCTCTACAAGGTCTACACCTTCAATTCAGTGCGCAAGTCCATGAGTACCGTCATCGAGAAGCCCGGCGGCGGCTTCCGCATGTACAGCAAGGGTGCCTCCGAGATCATCTTGCGCAAGTGAGCATGCCTTCCCTGCCTTCCTCCCTTCCAGATCCTCCCTCAGGAAGGCCTAGGTGCCATGCCCCGTGCTGAGCCCTCTGAAGGATGCACGGCCCTCCTTCAGGTGTGACACAGTAACTAGTATCTGAGCATTTACTTAGGCCAACCATTGTTTTTAAGTGCCTTGGGTGGCTCATTTTCTTTAATCCTCACAACTCAGTGAAGTCGATACTATTATCGTCTCTTTTTGACAGATGAGAAAACAGGTACAGGGAAGTTGAGTAACTTACTCCAGGTAATACTGCCAGGATTCAGACCTACGCCATCCAAGCTTCCATTTCCTAATCTGAAAACAGATAGTAATACCCACCCGTCTCACAGGGTTACTATAATTATATGAGTCAGTGTACGGAAAACAGCTTGCACACAGCAAGTACTAGAAATGTTAGTTCCATGGCCCCTTTTCCTTCTCTTCTCAACGGTAATTGCAGGGAAGTTACATAACTTAATCAAAGTGGCTAGAAGAAGCACAGGTCATTAACAGTTGACCTGCATGGATATAGGGCCAGCAACTGAATTAGCCAGTATCCCAGCTTGGCTTTAGCCACCTTCTGTCAATGAACACATTCTTGTTGAACACATCCTATCCACCGGGCACTATTCTAGATACTGGGGACTAAAGAAGTCTCTCTGCCTTTGCGAAGTTCGAAAGAGGAGGTGATCCACAAATGACTGCACACATATGAATAGGAACAGATGACATGGGAGAATCACACGCTCTGCCTATGTAGACCTTACCCGTCTCCAGGTCCCTTAGAAAAAGGGACCCAGCTGGGTAATGAATAGGGATTTCTGGCCCTGGAGCAGTGTCTATAAGTAATGCAAAGTTGCCAGAATGTCTATAAAAGACTAGAGCGTCACACTGGTTGGGAACGGGGATGCGGCTCTCTAACTGTGCCCCTCCCCAGGTGTAATCGAATCCTGGACAAGAAAGGAGAAGCAGTGCCATTCAAGAATAAGGACCGAGATGAGATGGTGCGCACTGTCATTGAGCCCATGGCCTCTGAGGGACTCCGGACAATCTGCTTAGCTTACCGAGATTTCAATGATGTGGAGCCCCCGTGGGACAATGAGAGCGAAATCCTCACCGAACTGACCTGTATCGCAGTGGTGGGCATTGAGGACCCCGTGCGCCCAGAGGTGAGGCTTTCGCTTGGAGAAGGGGCAAGAACACATGGATGGAAGCCTTCCAGCGGCCCCTGGCCCATGTGCAGGCCCAGTGTGACCTACTGGGAACCCACCAGGAGTCATGGGAACGAGGGTACTGGTTCTGTTTCTACTTGTGACCCACACAAGTTACCTAACTGCTTCTCACTTAAAAGTATAGCTGTTTCTGTGCTTCTGCCTTCACAGAACTGCTGCAGAGCCCTGAACTGATTTCAGAAGGTGGCATTCCTATGGGTAATGCTGTGTGGAGTGAGAAGCATAGGTTTCGCTGGGCTTATCATTTGGTTCTTAAGAATAGTTAGGAGGCTGACTTAACCAGGACACCAGCTTTATCTCTAGCCACTTCTCTTTCTTTTTTTGGGGAGGGAAGTGGAGGAGGGGAACAGACAAGTTGCTGTCCTTTGGTTCGTCAGTCTAGTTGTGAAGGACACCGCTTCACTGGCCCATGTTGGTATTATGATCATTGTGCTCTTCCCGGCTGAGACAGATTGGTCGCCGGCCATTGGACGGCGGCTCACAGCAGGCAGCTCACGGCAGTTCTCGCTGGCTGCCGGCCACTCACGGTAGCTCGCGGCAGCCCACTGCAGCCCCACTGCAGCCTACGCCGTTGCCAGCCATTCCCGGCAGGCAGCCCAGCTCCAGGTCAAGCTGTTTTTCACCATCTTAGCTGTAGAGGGCGCAGCGTCACTGGCCCATGTGGGAACCGAACCGGCGGCCCTGCTGCTCAGAGCTCGTGCTCCCAAGCCATCAACTCTTAACCAACTGAGCCACTCGGCCGGCCCCACTTTTCTTTCAATCAACACATTTTTGTTGAGCTTCCCTAGAATAGCTGAACACTATTCTCGACTACAGAGCATTGAAAGCTTCTGCTTCTAAGAAGTTCAGACAGATGGGCTATCAATTGTCAAAGCCCAGAGGCATGAAAGGGTGTCATTCGTTTGGAAAACTACAAAAAATTGATATGGTTGGAGCATGGGCCAGGGAGGGTGGAGAGTGGTAAAAAATGTCGGCTAGAAAGGAAAGTAGTGGCCAAATCTCAAAAGGCAGTACGTGCCCAGCTAAGTAGTCTAAATTGTAATCAGGAGAATAAGCTTTTACAGCTGGTTCCTGAAGCCAGTTTCCCCTTCAACTTGTGGTACAACGAGGCAAATTCCAGTGTGGGGAATTATGGGTAGGACAAAAGTGAGGTAGCACCAAGCAAGGTGAAAATGACCAGACTTAACCTGTGCCCCAGGGCACTGTTTCTAAGGTATTTCTCCTGTCCACAATGAAGGGACAGCTGAACAGGGGCAGCTTGCCGCCATCACCAGCCCTACCTCCTTCTCCTCTTGCCTCACTCCCCACAGGTACCAGAAGCTATTGCCAAATGCAAACGAGCTGGTATAACTGTCAGAATGGTGACAGGAGACAACATCAACACAGCCCGGGCCATCGCCACCAAATGTGGCATTGTGACACCTGGGGATGATTTCTTGTGCTTGGAAGGCAAAGAATTCAACCGACTCATCCGCAATGAGAAGGGCGAGGTGGGTCCTGATGGGGAGGAACTGGGGCCTCATTTGGCAAAGGAAGGGCCGGTTCTGGTGTAAGGCATCTGGGACACATGGGAGAAAGTGGGTGGTTTTTAAACTAAAATCTATTCATAGTGAAATGTCCCTTCCACCAAAGCTGCTCGGATGGTAAAATTGGGAGTTCTTTTCATGATGTTCATTCACAAGCTAGCTTTTGAGACAGTGTCACTAACTCTTCATGTCTTCCCTTTTTTTTCGGTCATGGGATGATTTTGTACTGATTTCTCTCTACCCTATCCCTCCTGTGTCACTGCCCTGTGACTAACAGTGGCACAGGTTTGTAAGAGGACGTGCTCTGGGTGTGGAGCAGACCAAAGCTTCCTGGTCTACCTAGAAATCAAACCTAAGACCTCAGAAGCACCACTTGAGCCAACAACAGCTAACCCTGTTCACCTCTTGTCAAAGGGTCTAAGAAATAGGGGATAGGCTGCCAGGTAGGGAATTGGGAGGAGAAAGAAGACAAGCAGGGCCTGAATGGTCACCACCAATGCATCTGCCCTTGGAGAATGAATCCTCTGCTTCATCTCCAGTGGAGGCCAGGCTAACTCAACCCCCTGGGCCATGGAGTACCAATCTCTCAGTAGTTCAGAGTGTGAAGAAGTAAAATTTTCCTAGATGGCTGTTCTGAGCTTGACTGACCCAGGTGTGGTCTGGTGTTGACAGGTAGAGCAAGAAAAGCTGGACAAGATCTGGCCTAAGCTTCGAGTCCTGGCGCGATCTTCCCCCACGGACAAGCATACACTGGTGAAAGGTAAGGTCAGCTCCTGAGTAGGTGCCTGGGGTAGAGAAAGGCAGGCCTGGGTGGGGACAGATATGAAGCATCAGCCAAAGCAACTCTCCTGTCCTGAATAGGGAGGTCCTAGGAGAGCTCTCCAGCTCATTGGGAGAACATACAGTTTAGCAAACACCTAAACACCTTGTGAGTATAAGACTTATAATAAAGTTGTTTTTAAACATCATCATATAATATCTTGTTTGCTAATAATACTATGAACTAGGCATGGCAGGTTAAACTATTCCCATTTTGCAAATACGGAAGTTTGAGGCTGAGAAGACAAATAACAAACTACCCAGCTGGTAAGTGGAAGTGGTACAATTTGATCCCAAGTCTCTGCCTTCAAACCATTCAGTGCTTTTTCCACCACGTAATAGTTTCCTTAGGGCATCAGACAGGGTGTCTGATGAGGACAGATTTCTTAGCTTAGAGTGCTACCCATGAAACAATTTACTGCCCTTGGGTGACAGTATAGAACTTCCAGCATAGGGAAAAAAGAAGGAAAGAAGAAAGTAGTAAGGGAGGCGATAGCAGAGACAAGGGAAGAAGACCAGAAAAGCACCTTTTGTGGGGAGCAGGGCTTGCCAAATGGCCTCAGGTGGCATATGTGGACTGACTGAGGTGTGTCTGTTTTTCTCAGGCATCATTGACAGCACTGTCGGAGAACAGCGACAAGTTGTTGCTGTCACTGGTGATGGCACAAATGATGGGCCAGCTCTGAAGAAAGCAGATGTTGGTTTTGCCATGGTAAGCAGCTCGGCACAGTCTCTCTGTCTTACTGCAAACTGCTTTCTTCATTGGGAAGCCAGGATGGGTCTCCTGTACTTTCACACCCTACTTTGTGCTGTCTTCTCAGACTCCATCTCTCCTACCTACTTGGCCAATAATAATAGGTATAATGGGGGGGGGCATCAAGTATGAAGAATAGATGACACAGGAAGGGAAATCAGGAAGTGTCGTCACCTAAGAAAGCAAAGCCAACTTAAACTTGCCCATGAATGTGGTGATAGTGTCTATCTAGGCACGCTATAGAAAGTTCATGTTCCATATGGAACTTGTACTCTGGCCAGCACTGTCCATCACTCTGCTTTTTACTTATGAGACTGGGAGCATCAGAATCACTTGGAAAGTTCATTTAAGTCATATATTGCAATGTTCCACAGTTGGATATTTTGAGTCAGTGACGTCTGGGGTGGGTCCAAGAAATATTTGGGTTTTCTTAATAGGCACATGTTTTGATTCTGACGTTCAGGGACATTTAGAAGCTCCCAGATTGCAAAGTACATCCTCACACTCAAGTAGCTTATGACTGTAAGTCTCCCCTGTATATTAAACTGATGATGATTTTTAAGCAATAGAAGGAGAATCAAGAAGTAATCTCTCTTTAAGGTGCTCTCTTTAACCACAACAACAAAAAAGTTTTTATTCTAGGAAATTTCAAGAATATACAAAAAGTAGAGAGAATAGTTTAATCGATCCCCATGTACCTGTCACCCAATATCAGTTATAATACTTGGCCAGTCTTGTTTCACTGAAACTGCCCCTGCACGTCCCCCACGCCAGCTGAATTATTCTGAAGCAAATTCAAGACATCATGTCATTTCATCCAAAAAAAAAAAGTCAGTATGTGTCTCTGAAAGATAAGTATGTATCAATAACATATATCTAAAAGAATGATATCATTATCATAAAACATTGATTCATTACTATCATCAGATAGTAATTAGTCAGTTTATATTTCCCCAATTGCTTCATAAATGTTGTTTTTTTAGTTGATTTGTCCAAATAAGATCCATACATTTCAGTTGTTTGATATATCTCTTAAACCTCTTAATCTATAGCAGTAGGTTTTTTTTGTTGTTTTTTGTTCTTTTAGCTGAGCCATCCTGCCACCTGTTGGCAGCTCAGCGGCAGCTCAGCTCAGGCCAGGCATCGAACTGCTGTTAATCAGAGTTCACACTCTTGAGCGAGCTCTTAACCAACTGAGCCACTCAGCCGGCCCTTAGCTATTTAGTTTTGAAGGAACCAGGTTGTTTGTCTACACAGAGTACCTCACAGCATGGATTTTGTTGATTGTACCCCTGTAATGTCCTTTAACATGTTCTTTTGTTCCTTGTATTTTCCTATAAACTAGTAATTAGTTTTAGAAGCAATCAGACTCTAGATCCCTGAATCTGGGGGCTACAAAATGATGATGTTCTGATTTTTTTCTACCTATTAGCTTGAATATTCTATAAAAAGAAATGTCCCCTTATCGACTCTTTGGTTACTCTGAGGCTCAGGCAGATTAAATGCCTGATTCTTTTCCTTTATTTACTAGTTTTCAAAATATTCAAAATAATGAGTTGACTTTTTAGGATCCTCCAGAGGTGATCAATGAATTGTTTATTTTTTAAAAACATCATTATGAACTCATGAATTTAAGCGTATTTGATGTGTTTTTATACATTGCCCATATTATTGTTTTCATGTTCCAGAGTTGTCATGTGTATTTCTTGTCTTAGAGCTGGAATTGTCCATTTCTCAAAGGAGTCCTGCTTCACTGTAGTGAGAAATGGTATTTAGAGACTACAATCTGATTATCAGGATGTTCCTTACAACTGAGGCTTCTAGGCCTTTTCAGTGGAAAAAGCTACAAAATATGTCTCTTTTGTGTTTCTGTGTTTTAAAGTAAAATACTTCATGAATTCACATTGGCATTTCCAATTCAACTTTAGAATTATAGAACGCTAGTTAGAGTTCTATAATTTTTTTTTTTTTTTTTAGCTGAGCCATCCTGCCACCTGTTGGCAGCTCAGCAGCAATTCAGCTCGGGCCGGGCATCGATAGAGTTCTATAATTTTAAGTTAGAGTTCCTAATTTTATTTAACTCCCCTGATTTTATATTTATATCTCTTAAGCTAAACATTTTTATTTTTAAGGGCATTAACATAATTATTACTTGCTTTATCCTAAGATATATGCAATAGTTTCAAAATAGCAACAATAATGCAATTACTCTACTAAAAATGTACCATCAAGTTACTGTGTTTTTTAAAAAGTCACTCGGGACATTTTTCCTTTATGTGGTTGTGCTACCAACTGGTTACACCAGTTCATTTATCATGTTGCTTTCCATTTTAGAGATTTCTTTTTAAACCTAATTTTGTTTTATACTTGTATAAAGTAGTTATATAATTCTAAAGTCAAATAGAGAAAACGAAGTTTTTTCATAGAAATCTAGCTTCTACTCCTATCACCTCCAACCTGTTGTCTCCCTCTTAACCACCACAGGTAACTTCTTTCTTTAGTTTTTTGGTTTATCCTTCTGTTTGTTCCTTTAAAAAATAATTAAATGAGTACTATATTTACATCCCACCCTCTAAGAGAAGGGATACTTATCTATAGTACATATATACTGTGCACTCTCTTTTTCCACCTTGCTTTTTTTCACTTGGAGATTATTACATGGTATCAAGTATATAGAGACATTCCTTCTTTTTTTTCCTTCTCTTTTTATAGTGCATGGCACAGCATTGTGTGGCTGTGTTAGATAACTTTTTGATGGGGAAACTGAATTGTATAGTCTATCTGACAGATACTCATTTGTTGCAATCTGGATAGGAAAAATAATACTGCCAGGTAAAGAGAACAAGTAATCCACTAGTGCAAGCCAAATTAATGACTAAGCGCCTCTGGGGGTTCCAGGAGTCTCAAGATGTGGAATTGAAGTATGGGCTGAGGATGCTAGGGACAGCCTTGCAAAGCAAATGGGACATTAAAGACAGGTAGGATTTAAATAGATGGGGAAAGAAGGTGTTCCAGACTTGGGAACATAGTGTAAGTAGAAGTCTACTCTCTAAAAGTGAATGACAGATTCAGGGAATTGTGAATAAACCCGTGGGTTTTCAGCAGAAAGATTATATAAGAGCAGGTTGGGAAACACATTCAGGTTCACTTATTGGGGCTTTAACTGCCAGACTAGAACGTGCACTTTCTAAAGCACAGCTTTCAACCCCTGGTATATCTATTCAGAAACCTTTAGTGGTTCCCCAGTGGCAGGATTTTGAACAAGGATAGGACATCTGAACTGTGCTGCCAGACTGCTGCTCCCAGGAAAAAAATGCAGGGTGACTTGAAGGTGTGGGACAGACAGGGATTTAAGTGAGATACTGGCAGCAGCAAAAGAAATGTGACAGTTTGGAGGTGGAATAGATAGGACTTTGGGAAGGGGAACAGCCAAGTTGCTGTCCTTTGGTTCTTCAGTCTAGTTATGGAGGACATCGCTTCACAGCGTGTATTATCATTACGCTCTTCCCGTCTGGGGCAGATTGGTCGCCGGCCATTGGACAGCCGATCACATCGGCTCACGGCAGCTCACGGAGGCTCATGGCAGCTCACGGCAGCCCCACTGCAGCCTACGCCGTCACTGGCGGCTCACGGCAGCCCAGCTCCAGGTCAAGCTGTTGTTCACCATCTTAGCTGTAGAGGGCGCAGCATCACTGGCCCATGTGGGATCCGAACCGGTGGCCCTGCTGCTCAGAGCTTGTGCTCCCAAGCCAACTCTTAACCAACGAGCTATTCAGCCAGCCCTAGATAGGACTTTTAATTGGTTTCTAAGGTGGGAGTGTAGGAGGGAAGAGAGAAAGGAATATCAAAGATAACTGTAATTTGCAGTCTGGGTTCAGGAGTCTGGGTTCTGGTGGCATCAGGCCTCAGAGCTCTTTTTCGTAGAATGACAGTGATGCATTTTCCCTTCATTTTCTTTGGGAGAGAAGAGAACTCAAAATACCATGCTTTAGTCTTTAGTATTTGTGTGGCTAGTGTGCCCTCTAGTGTTAGGCCTAGTTCTGAAGCTTGGAGGTTAGGAGATGGAGTTAATCAGAATGTAGATAAACTTTGCTTTATCCAGTTCCTCAGTTTTCCTTCCCCTTTCTTACCCCAGGGCATTGCAGGCACAGATGTAGCAAAGGAAGCATCAGACATCATCCTAACAGACGACAACTTCACCAGCATCGTGAAGGCAGTGATGTGGGGACGAAATGTCTACGACAGCATCTCCAAGTTCCTGCAGTTTCAGCTCACCGTCAATGTGGTGGCCGTGATCGTGGCCTTTACTGGAGCTTGCATCACTCAGGTGAAGGGAGTGTGTGTTTGTGTAGTGGCTGAGATGGAGGAATGAGGCAGGGGCTAAGCAATGTGGGGAACGGGGTACAGCATAGTTTGTCTACTGAGGAGTAAGGACAGCGTTGGGGCAGGAGGTAGCTCTCCCTAGGTCCACTCTCTACATCCGCTCATGTGGGGTGATGATAATTTATCTGCTGAACTTAGCACTTTCATGTCAGCCACTGTGATGAGCACTTATGTGTATTATCTCTGTTCTTCAAAAACAACCTTGCAGTGTCAGTATAATCCTCCTTTTACAGGTGAGGCACCCAAGGCTTAAAGAGGTTAAGTAACGTTTTCAAGGTCACTCAGCTAACAAGTGGCCAGACCTGAAGTCTAGGTTGATAGCGGGAGCTAGGCCATCTCAAGTACAGACGTAGGCTGATGAGTGAGGTGGGGGTGGTTTCTGAGGTAAACTAAAAGGACTGGTTCTTCTTCCCACCAGGATTCCCCATTGAAAGCCGTGCAGATGCTGTGGGTTAATCTCATCATGGACACGTTTGCCTCACTGGCCCTGGCCACAGAGCCTCCTACAGATTGTCTGTTGAAGCGTCGCCCTTACGGCCGAAATAAGCCTCTGATCTCACGGACTATGATGAAGAACATCTTGGGTCACGCAGTTTATCAGCTCACAGTCATCTTTTTCCTTGTCTTTGCTGGTGAGCCGAGGTGGGGATGGGGGCAAGGCGACAGTTGGGGTGCTGGATGGTGATGGGGCGAGAATGACTCAAGGAAAGAAAGCAGCAGGGGAGCAAGCTGACCACAGACTAGGAGTAACAGCAGCTTCAGTTACTGAGTGTGTCCTCTGTTCCCGCTACAGGGCACATTATACTAGTTTATGTACTTCTTTTAAGAATTTCACAAGGATAGCTCCGTTATGCCTTTTTTCATAGATTATAAAACTAAAGTTCAGGTCCCATAATGGTGGCACTAAGATTCAAACCTATGTCTGCCCGAGTTTAGTGCACATAGTTTTACCACCACCATGCTGCACTAGAAGAAGGCAGATATCAACGGAGCAAACTGAGAGAGCGGGTCAGATATGTTGAGACCAAGGCTAACGTTAAAAATATTTGCTGGGCCAGCCGAGTGGCTCAGTTGGTTAAGAGCTCGCTCAAGAGTTTGAGCTCTGAGCAACAGCGGTTCAAGTCCAGCCCGAGCTGAGCAGCCGCTGAGCTGCCAACAGGTAGCAGGATGGCTCAGCTAAAAAAATAAATAAATAAATAAATAAAAAATAAATAGATAGTGTGCTGACTACACTTTGGATACCCCTGCTCCATAGCTATGTAAGCTGAAGCC